TAGCAATGACCCTCTATTTTTGTGCTTATTTCCATTATATTATTGTTATCATAGAATAATCTTCATGTTTTAGGTGAGTTGGCATTGACCATATGTTGTTTGGTGTATTACCTGTTTATTTTTATCAAAAAAGTCTACTTGTTTGTGTTGTTTTGGAAATTATCCTCTATTGTCTTCATATATTACTCTTCTGTTTTGGTTTGGTAATGATCTTCAATTGTTGAGCTTATCACTTGTTCATTATTGTCTTCATATATAACTCTTCTATTTTGGTTTGGTAATGACCTTCAATTGTATTGCTTATTACCTGTCCATTATTGTTCTCATATATTACTCTTATGTTTTAGTTTGGTTATGACCTTTAATTGTATTGCTATTACCCGGCTTGTTCATTATTGTCATCATATACTACTCTTCTGTATCTTTTTGGTAATGACCTTCAATTGTTAAGCTTATTTCCTGTTAATGGCTGTCATCATAGTCTATATTTCATGTTTTAAGCAAACTGGCAATAACCCTTATTATTTGTTTATATGAGATTCATTACATTAGGCCATATATATGTGTTTAATATGAGTTCTTACTATACCTTTTTTTTGTAATTTGTGTAGTAACATGCCGAGAGTGAAGATGGCTGCAAAAAGATACCCTAGCTCCAATAGAAATCCCCCTCATCCAGCAAAAAAGCCAAGAGTATTCATTAGAGTTTCTCCAACTTCATCTCCTACCGCAGCAGGCTGTAATACCTCGTATTTTTATACGTATTTTAATTTAAATAAGTATTTCTTAAAGTATTTAAATAATTTAAAATGAATTATTTATGGTTTTTATTAACTTAAAAGGAATTATTTTAATTAAAAAGTTTATTTTTAATTATTTAATAATCTTGAAAATATTTTATTTTATGATTTAAAAATATTAGGGCATATTATTTTATAAAAAGATAATTTTTAAAGTCAAAGTTTTAAAGAAGGTCAAAATCCTAGTTTGATTAGGAATCCTACTTTGAGTAGGAAATGGATTGTTAAGGGTAGTAAGTAGGAGGTTATGAGAGGGTATAAATACCCATCATATGCCTAAGGTGGAGTGCACCCAAAGGTAAATTCTCTCTCTCTCCTCTTATTTTCTTTTCCCCTTATTTTTCCCCTTCCCCTTTATTTATTTATTTTTATTTTATTTTAATCACCACCACACACACCGGCCGGCCACCACCACCAGCCTTTGTCGGCAGCAGCAGCCACCAGGCGGCGCGGCAGCAGCCAACCTAGGTGGTTGTGTGCGCCGGTGGTCTTAAAAAAATTATTATTGTTTTTGTTTTAATTAAATCTACCTTAATCTAATTATTGTTTTTGGGTTTTGTGATGATTTTAGGATGTTTAATAATAAGTATTTTGTATATTAATTTTGGATTTAATTTTAAATTAAAAAGCCCCAAATTAAAAACCCTAGGTTTCTAAATTAATGGTTATTGATGGAATTTGATTGTGGTTGATAAAAACTATTGAAATTAATGTTTTTAAACTAAATTACAACAATTTTATAAATTTTAATAATGCTGGAATTTTTATATATAAGCTATAATTATATTTCTTGAAAGGATTTTTAATTACCCATTAATTGGGAATAAAAGTAAGGGTTTTAAATAAAATTTCAGATTATATTAGAGGGTTTATGAGTGATTTAAAGAGAGTATATATTGCTGGAAATTTGTGTGGAAGAGGCATTAATACTTCTTTATACTTTTTGTTTGTAGAAGACTTTCAAGTAAGTGATTTTATTTAGTCGTGGCGATTTTGAGATCATATTCAAGGTACGTTCACGTACTTAGTATTTATTTGAATATGTAGAGGCATGCTAGGTTTTGTTTAATTAATTCCAAGTAGTATCATGATAGGTGTTGGTTGGAACTTGATAATAAGTGAATGATTTGTGATGTATGAATTATTTGCGATGAATTGGTGATTGGAATTAATTATATTGGCATGTTGGTTATGAACCACACTTTTATTATTGGCATGTTAGAGAGCATGTTTAATTAAACTAAATGTTTAATTTGGTTTGGAATATGAAAAGGGAATTTTATTACGGTTCATATAATTTTTATTGATGCTATAAGCTTGAGGAAGGAGCTATTTAAGTGTCTTAATACACAAGAATAAATTATATTGCGGTGTTTATATGCACTTAAGGTGTTTCTAAGACCGAGGGATAGGATTTGCGGCGCATTATGCGTTTAAGGTGTCTTTAGTACTAAGGTAGATTAAAAAGGGTTCAACTATTAAATTTATGTGGACACTAATTATTCAAGAATTAAATTGGTATGTTTGGTTGCTTGAATGATTTATTAGAGTCATCACCAAGTCTAAAAATGTGTAAACAACGTAAAGTGAAAGAGATAACACACCAAAACTCTTGGAACGTATATACCTTGAGAATGAACATATGGGGGGAGCTATGCAACTTTATATTTGACCATAACTTCTACTGGGAGTACAAAATGTTGTATTTTCCTTTTTATTATTATTATGCGCTGAACGTCCAGTCACTTTATGTGACATTTGCCTACCCGGTTAGCTTCCGGTGTAGTTTACCTCAATTTATTTGAGGCGGGGGTATGGTTGGAAACCCGTTCGATGTGTAATCAAAATTAAATGAACATTGACATTGGTTTAGTTAGGTGTTGGATGTTTTGTATGCTTGTAAACAGGTGTTACATGGTAAGTTGTGTGATGTTAGGATGAAAGCATGTTAGTGTGTTTTATTACGCTTATGTACTCAGCTTTGCTGATTGTGTGTTTGTATGTTTGTTTGGCCTTGTCTTTACCTTGGCCCTACGACGACCCATTTCTAATGGCGAGTAGTGGGGACAAGTAGAGAGAAGCTTTCGGGTGATGAAGCATATTCATGAAGGGCATGAGTGAAGAACGAATTATGCTTAGTTCTCATAGGAATGTGATATGTTTTATTTGCTTTAAATATTATTTATTTTATTATGATCATGAGACTAACGCAAAGGTTTTAAATATTGATTGGGTTTTAAGGGCCTACAGTGGTTCCAAGTTGTAGGTTGACTTTGTTTGACTTAGTTTGACTTTTACTTTCGTTTGGTTTGACTTTTTCAAGTTGACTTGTTTTTAAATGGTTTTAAAAGTAGTCTTCCGTTGTGTGTGAGTCTTTGATATTTGCCTTAGCCGTTTTCACGGTAACGGTAATGTTTTAGATTTTCCTTTTTTCGTATTTTAAAAGGTCAAAGTGGGTATTTTAAAGAAAAGGAATTTCTAGGGTGTTACACAGGTAGAAGGAGAGCCACAAGAAGCACGACTGACAATCCTACTCAGACATTTACCTCTAAAGTTGGCGCAAGTAAAGCATCCAAGGCCCATGTTGACCCACCAGATTCATTCGATGAGGAGGATCCAAGGTTTAATGTTGATTTGTCAAATGAAATAGTGGATACATCACCAATCACTCCATTCAACTACAACACTTGCAAGAAGGCATTGGGGTATGAGTTCAACGCGGACACAAAACAGTGGGTGTGGCTTGGTATCAAGCGTGCGCTTCGTCGACATTGGGAACTTGAACAACATGAGGCTGATAAAGTGACTGATGATGTTGATGGAGATGGTCGTCGTGCGGAAGGAATGTCTTTGGAGGCTATCATGTTAGAGAGCCTTGTTGTGCAAGAGATGTTAAGGCGTTTGCATCTAACACTCTTCAATGACATGACTGAGGTCCGAGAGATGGCGAAGTCTCGGATTGCCACTCCCGATGATGTTCATTCCCAAGAGACAGGTATTCTTTTAATTTTGTTCTTGAATTGCTTCACTTTTTTTTATTAAGTAAAGACCACACCATGTTGATGTGTAATTACCTGTATATTTATTAACACTCCAGATAACTCTCTGTTTTATCTTTGAATTGAACTTTTATTGTTAAGGTCAATACATGTTATATTTTTTTATACTCCAGACAACTCTCTGTTTTACTTTGAAATTGACCTTTTATTGTTAATTAAGGTCATTACTTGTTATATTTTTTTTTTCATACTCTAAACGCTCTCTGTTTTATCTTGGAATTGACCATTTATTATTAAGGACATTACTTGTTATATTTTTCTGATCAACAGCTACATCTCTGATTAGTGTGGGAATTGATCTTGTGTCTTATGGAATATTACCAAAAATATTTTTTGTGTATGTTTTTTTGTAAGTATTTTCGTATAATACAAATGTTTTTTATGAAAATTGATTGTTTTCTACATTTTGATTATTTAAAGCTGGTGAAGTTATTGGCAAGAGCAATGCTAAAACAAACGATCGCAGTCGTGCTGGTATTGGTGATGAAAAGGATAATGATGACAGTGGTAGAAGTGAATATGCGTCTGGAGGTGAAGACTTTAATGATGATGATTAAGAATTTATATGTTGTGTATTGACATTATGACTTTTACTTGTGTGTTAATTATGTTTAAATGACTTTAGTTGGTATGATTAAATGATTTTGTAGGACTTAATATGACTTATTTTGTAATTGCCTTTTGGATCTAAACTTGGTTACATTGATCACAAGGGAAGCTCTTTATGCAATCACTAGACGAATAAGATAAAAAGGCATCGGTTCAAACCCCCCCCCCCTTTGGCACCGATTTTGAACCGTTTGGTATTTGAGAGATGCCAAATCCATGAAAATTTGGCACCGGTTCAAAACCGGTGCCAACTAAAGCATTTGGCATCGGTTAACCGGTGCCCACTACACGTTTTTTAATTTTTTAATTTTCAATACTTTTGGCACCGGTTCAAAGCAAGAACCGGTGCAAAAACCCCACTTTAGGCACCGGTTCTTGCTTTGAACCGGTGCCAAAAGTGTAAAAATAAAATTTTTAAAACTTTTGGCACCGGTATTGGTCAAAACCGGTGCCAAAAATACCCCAAAAAAATAAAATTAAAAAAAAAAAATTGCTTTTTTTTCACTTAAATTGATATAGAAACATTAACATATATATAAAGTTACATATTTTCATTAAAAAAGGCTGTAATATTACAATTTTCGTCCAAAAAAAAATCAAAGCAAGGAACGAAAATATCAAAGACCAGCTCCACACTAGCAGCTGAACAGAGGACAGCAGCAGCCAAAAGATAGGTGTAAATCGTGTTCCTAATACTAGCAGCTGAACAGAGGACAGCAGCATCTGAAGCTTCTCTTGGAGTTTGCAGGTCCAAGCTGATTAACTCTTACGAGACTTGTAGAAGCCATATTGATATAATTATATATGCAACTGATAATTTCATTTTGAACCTATGCACAGAACGTCAGAATTTGAAAGAAATTGAAAAGGCAAACTTGTTTCTTTCTTGGATAACCACTTTTAAAAATAAAAATTAAAATTAAAATTTGAAAATTGTATAAACATAAATCTCAATACCTCCCCTCTATTACTTTTGAAATTATTACTCCCCTTTCATTCATTTCCTATCTTTTATATGGGGGAACGAAGTAAAGAAAATGGTAATTTTAGGAGAGAAGAAGCAATCAAATACATATTATTTTTCTATTAGGGGAAATCAGATTGCATGAAGTGGTGTATGTGCTCATAAATTGCCATGTTAAACAACCAATCACAATGTAAACATGCACTATATATACACACATTCTCAACTTTCCTCAACGTAGTAACCAATCACAAGGCATAAATGCAGTGTACACACATTTCCAACTTTCCCTAACGTAACAGCCATCCCCTTATAGCATTATCTTATCGCAGACGGTTCAGAAAAGTTAAAAACAAGCGAGATAACAAGAACAGCTTAAAGCTAATTGACCTTGTGGTATTCAAGGGTGTCACCAGCGGCTCTCCGAACATCAACCATAAAAAGTGAGGGAGCAACTTCATAGACCTGAAATAAGGACAAAGGGATATTTAAAATACTATTAGGATTTCGAGGGGCGTAGCTCAAGTGCTCAACAACAATTTTTTTATTTTTTTATTTTAAAAAAAAAAGAAAAGAAAGTGAACTACCTCTACCACCACAGCAAACTGTCCTGCCTTACTAGCAGATATTCCTTCAAGTCTTGTCTACAGAAATCAATGAAAGGAAAAGGTTAGGGCTCAAATAGTTCAAGATATAATTTAACTGTTGTCTAAACCACATCTAGATCACAAAGGGAAACAAAGACAAAGAACCATTAAGTTAATTGACCTTAAAATTTCGATATAAATAAGGTAGAATATAAATAGCACGAGATAAAAATGCCCAATTCAATGAAGGAAATATCCCCCGGGACTTAGATCAAGTTGATTAATTTGTTTAAAAGGAGAAGCACTCCAATCCTTACCAGACAGCAGAAGCAACACTCCAATTCAGCATAGAATGTTTGCAAGTGGCATATATATCAAGTTGTTATCAAGGTTACATTAAACGACAAGAAAATCTATACCAGAAAAATAAAAAGGAGAATACATTAAAGGACATGAAGTGCTCAAAATATGAGAACCTAAAAAAAGTTAAGACAAACTTCAATGTGAAACCCTTTCATAAGACGCTCCAGATAAATAGAGTTCAATTTTAATTTATTCCACAACCTTTTCTAGGAAAATCTTTGGATATTGATTTTGTATCTTTCCTTGTATGACAGAATAATTGAAGACTCATGTTTCAATGGTTCTGAAGATGGCAATCAGCCTCCTTATTGCTGAAAAATGCCAAATCAAGCTGTTGAGAATGCTACTCAGCCATAGGAACATGCAAGAATTCATCTCCCTGCAAGCCCTTTATTATATAATGTGCAGGATTCTCAGTCCAAGGGTGCCTTTTGAAGGTCCTTGAATCTGCCATGAAATGGTCACATCCTAATTTTCTCAGACGATTTTATAATCTTAAGGGGAAACTCTAGCTCCCCCTGCTTTCACTCATCCTTAATTCATCCAACAATAGGTCCCCATCTTCAATATTCAGAAATATATAATCCCTAACTTGCACAGCTTAGATCCTCATCAAGGTTACCACCACTCATTTGAGCATTATTCACCTAGTTAGCAGCAGAAATGCCTCAGAGACTCCAACAACAGAAGTTGGGTATCCTTAGCAGAATGTTACCTTGATATCCTAACCACAACAAGCCATATCCTCACAAGGGGCAATAGCATATGAGGAATAAGTATCCCCAGAATCAGAAATTGTGTTGTCAGATAAGCAACTCTTTTAAAACTAGTTAATCTGATGGAAAAGAGCTGAAGGCCTGACCCTTACCAAACTTTACCAAAAAAAAATATATGAAATGAAGACTAAGAAACTAAAAGTTTTGGATTAATTGACAATTGTCTGAAAAAAGGCTTTATAAATATTCCATTTTTAAAATTAAAATAATAATAATAATAGACTTTCCAGCTACTATACATATTAGAAAGGATGACCAATATTAAATCCTTGAGGATTTTGAATCTCAATAAAAGCATAAGCATCAGTACGAAGAACAGGATTATAAACCGCAAAACAAAAATCGACATCAGTACGAAGAACAGGATCATAAACTGACAAAGCTAAACCGTTACAAGAACCAACCAACCAATTGAAAGGTTCATTATTAGGGCCTTTGCTAAAATCAAGATTATTCGAAGCAATTAAACGATTATTAGGGCCAAATCTGCAGAAATCAAGATTGTAATCTCCATAATCAAGAGCTTCAAAGTTGCAAGAATAATCAAGGGTAAGAACAGACCTCGAGGAGAGAGAAGGCAAATGCGTAAGATTTTATGGTTTTGATAACATAGAACAAATTCACGAGTAAATCCATTAAAAATCAATCCAATAACACATGAATAACACAACCAGATTCGACAACCCTAAAACAACAACAACAAAATCAACCAACAATTCATCAATCGCAAAGAAGATCAAAATCAAGAACAGCTAAAAAAAACATAATCAAAACCAAAATGAAGCGAAATCGAAACAAACCAGGAGCAGCTTCAATGGAGGTGAGAAAGCTCAGATTCGTCTTCAATGGAGAATAGAGCACGATTCAATGGAGGCGGAGATACTGCTTCAATGGAGTGAGAAGGCGGAGGTGTTGCTTCAATGGAGTAAGAAAGCTAGGGCAACCACTTCAATGGAGAAGGTGAAAATTCAGGAATAATTAGAGTATCTAATTATTTGACCTGTTATTTTGTAAATATAGTATATAGTCTTAGTCAATAATGTTGTTAGACTTAGTCAAGATTGTTGAGTTTGTTTTTTTAGCCTTAGCTTAATTATAACATTCTGTTTTCCTTAGTTATCTTGTTATGTACAATCTAGTCGGCTACTTGTATACTCCTAGGGTAATTCTTGTTTGCCTATTATTTAAAGATGCCAATGTGATTAATTAAAGTATGAAAATTTTTCACTTATCTTATATTTAGACAAAAAATGACTTTAGTTACACTACATGTCATGAGTAATATTTCACACAAATCAAAGCCACGACCACCCATATACTCCATATATCCCCAACCAATAATTATTAGATGCTTGTATTATACATATAAGCTAAGGGTATAACTGAACCGAGTTTATTAATAAACATTATGTTAGATTCACAATTATAAGTTATATGCTACATAATAAACGATAAAAAAATTAACAACCAATAAAGATCAACTAATAATTTGGTTTGTTTGTTAAAAATAAACAAATAAATAATAAAGGAAAAGAACTAATTTGTGTTTCATTATTAGGTATTAACCTGTAATTCCTAATTACCAACAATATTAAATACATAAAATAAGTCTTTGAATCATCAATACTACCAACAGTGTTAAACTGGGTTAGACATGTATGATAAGTATAATACCAATTGTTGATAAACATTATATTAAAAAAAAATTAAAACTTTAAAAAGGGTAAAAAAAAATACATAAATTAATAAATATCACAAAACTTCTAATGTCATATACTCATGATCATCACATCTAACAACACACTCCATCTAACCCCATCCACAAATATACACACATCAGTAAATCAAAAAAATAAAAAACAAAAAAAAGAAAAAAAAAATTAACACCACAAAAAGGCTGAAATTGGTTTTTAACACCCAAAAAAAAAACAAAAAAAAAATTGTTTTAACAAGAGTAGGACTTTCTATTGTGAAAACTGGATTAAGGCCCTGTTTTTTTTAGCTGCTCTGATGAAATCTGTTCTTCTCTACTCTACTCTGCTATTTATAACTTGGATTACAATAGTAGGACTTTCTATTATGTGAATTGGATCTAATCTTGTTACTTTATGTTAAGCTACTTTCTGTTTATAACTTGGATTAGTCAAACTTTTGTATGGTAACTACTCTTTTTTAATATTCTAAATTACATACCCTATAAATAGTAATCACTTTTTTATAAAGTGATCACATGATAAACTTACCATTATTGTAATAGAAGGGTGCCTATTATCATAGCATATGTGTATATGTGTATTCATATCAGATATGAGCAATACAAATTAGTTCACGTATGAGCAATACTTTACATATTAGATACTTATAATTTGTAGCAATAAGATAATCTACATTTTTTCAATGATAATTTTATCAACTTAAATTAAACTTTAACCTTTTGGGATTAAATTATATATGGATTCAACAATAATTATTGTAATGTATTATTTATTTCTTGAAAGTTAAATTTTAAATTTTTTTTTTTTTTTTTGGAAACATATTAATTGATATCCCTTTTATATGAAACTAATTTAGGATCTCTAAATATTCCATTTTACCACTTTATTAGGATAGTATCAATATATATGGAATACAATTTATGATGATAAGTAATTAACTATAATACTCGATTTATTGAAGGCGTGATTTTATAAATTGGCATATTGTAAGATTTGTATGTAACATAAGTTTGGCCTGATAATCTTTTGTCAAATAATAAAAGGCATTTAGACTTCAATTGTTAAGTTACCCATATATAGTTGTTGGTTAGCTATTTTTTTGAAAAACAATATTCTAGTACGTATTAGTTTTAAAATTCTCAAAATCACGCTAGTGCCAAATTAAATGAATAATTCATAGGTCATTGTTTGTTGATATTTAATTAGTTGAATCACATTTCTAAATAAATACTTCATGACATAAGCTTGGCATATATCATTTCATAATGTGATGACATATAATGTATAGAGTCATAACCTGTTGATAATAAACATGTTAAAGTCTTCATTATAATTCAGATCAATTATTAATATATAGTTAAATTAAATTCGCATTGATAATCTAATGAAAATTGTTTGATGATAACATAAATATAATCACAAAAGTCCTAATCATAGCATTTCATATGATTACAAAACTCTTTATGATCATAGACAAATAAACAATAAAACTGTTTGTTATAGGTAATGTCCCATTAGAATATTGGTGAATACATATACAAAAACTAGATTTAAAATTTCATCTTTGTTTTTTTGGATCAAACAGGGTTTTGAAGAAAATATTTTACGGTTTCTTCCCAAATTTGCCAGACAAACCCAGATTATATAAAAAAATGAAGATTTAAGATTCCGATTACATATAATCGCCGATTTTGCATCCCTTGATTGAGATTGTCCAATTAAAATGTATTATTCTAGGATTAAGAAACAATTCAGTTTCGCACAAACCCCGATTTTCAAAAACAAAAAAAAAAAAAAAAAAAAAAAAGATGGTGTGCGATCGGGGCATATGTTCATTCTCCGTCGATGCATGTGTGAGTGAATTGAAGGGACAAAGGTCATGAATTGGTGGTTAATTTCTGTTGAGCCCTAATATTGTATTTTAATCTTTGGACCAATGTTAAGGCCTAATATGTTTTAGGTTGTATATAAACCTTGTCATACAAAAATACAGACTATTGAAAAATTATTTCCTAACATGGTATCGGAGCCTCTACATTCTAAACCCTAAAAACCCTAAAAAAAAAATTCTCTCCAATCAACATGGGTGACGAAGGCAAGATTGATCCTTCTTCTCCTTTTTACATTAGATCAAGCGATCAACCAGGCAACTTGATTACTCACTTGATCTTGAAGGGTGATAATTATCTATCATGGTCTAGGGCAATCACTTTGTCATTGAAATCTAAACGAAAATTTGGGTTTGTTGATGGTACCATGTAATACCCCCGATTCACTAGCTAATAATAAATAATAAATAAAGGAAAAATAAGCAACCTTTGAATAAAAGTGCGGAAGCATACACCCAAATCGGAGGTATCATCGCCACACTCAACAACTGGTCAAGTGTTAAGGCTTACAAAATCCCTATAATTACAACTCAATAAACTAAGTGAGCTATTTATGCAACTTTACAAACTCGTTATAAACACTAATCGAAACACTTGAGCTCCTTTAGCTACGATCACTTGATTAACCTGTTACAATCTTGACTGCTCACCATTAAGGACAAATTGCAAAATAGATCGTCGCAGGGCCACCATAAGAAAAAGACATGGCCGCAAATACAAGTAGCACAACAAAACAAAACACACGTCAGCAAAAAGCTGAGTAATCACCACTTATCAAGAATACTGAGAATAATAGAATAATTAACATTACTAGCTCAATTAAACAATGTAGTTCAAAACTACATTACACATTGTACTTTGTAAATAACCTTTGTCAAACCCAACCTCGAATAATAATACGATCCTTTACTCATTTAACTCATCTAACCAATAAGTGTGTCATGCTCTTTGTTCAATACCTAGCCTTGGACATGGGTAATTCAATAACAAACTAACAAGTATAAAAATTTGAATACTCTCAATAACTAGAAAACACCCCTAACCATGACCAACATATGGGTCAAATCCCACTGTAGGGGACCATAGAAAAATAAATAAATAAAGATTGTACCTCATTATTAACTCATGATTATCATCTCCTTACCAACATGCCAAGGACTAAGGTAATTAACATCGAGCCTCAAACCAAGAACAAAATAATAATTCTCAACATTTTTGATCTCATACATCGATCAAATAATCATTCATAGATTCATAAACAATATCTCAATAATGGCACGGGTTCCCAAATAATATAACATGACATACTTGTATCATAAAATATCTCAACTCTTGTTGGGCAATAATACTAATACCCAAATATAATTGAATCTCAACCCAATATAATATTAGTAACCCTAAAACCTCAAATAATAATACTCCCTAGAGCCACAACATTAAAAACCCTAGCATAAATAACACAATCAATTGATACGACAATTAAATCATATAATACAAGATACGACACACCCTAATCACATACGAGTATATATAAATCTTTATCATACAAATAACAAATCATAAAATTTACACACAATAATATCCTGCACAATCAATATAAACAATAATTTATAATTAAACAACTCCAAAAATTAAGATTCGTGTGATTACCTATAATAATAAGAGTAGGCAAACAACTCCAAAACGACGATTGTGATTACCTTGTAGATCAAATTACTTGATCGCACAACCAAATTTCTTGAACCAAATTGACAGTATTAGCAAAATAAGTGTTTAGAAGAATATGGGTGGAAAAAAAAGGGAATCAAAGCATAATTATTGTGAGTCATATATGAATAAGGATAAAGATTTGGGTTTTGTTTATGAAACTCACGCACAACAAAACGGAACGGTAGCTTTCTCTTTTTTTTTTTTTTTTTTTTTTTAAAATAACGTTAAATACATATGTTAATATGTACATATATAAATCTAGTTTATCATACAAATATTCCAACCAAATAAAAATAGGATTTTATAATTTTATAAAATTTTATCAAATATAAAATACAACTCGAATTTTATCTTTTATCAAATCGTAAAATATATGGGTATTACAGTCTATCCTCCTTAAAACAAATTTAGTCCTCAAAACTTAAAATAGAAAAATTTAGGGTATTACAATCTACCCTCTTTAAAACAAAGTTTGTCCCCGAAACATAAAATTAGAAAAAATAAAATAGATTTGACAAACTGATAGAATAAAATTTGGACCAAATAAATTTATATAGAGTAATAATATATTAGGGGTATTACACATCATCTCCAAACCGACCGAAAAGAACAAGATGCTCGATTAGGATACAGTAAATTCCATGTTGGTGTCTTGGATATTAAGGGCTATTGAGCCGAAACTTGTTGCTTCAATTCCCTATTTTGACGAGGCCAAGAGACTTCGGGATTATTTA